GTGGATTCTCCCTGCACTGTTTCATGAATTTAGGCAGCAGGGGATGAAGATCTGGAGTCCAGCTTGCAGCCAGAGAGCAGGGGAGGCAAAAGTATAGCATAATGGGGGCTCCCAGGTTTTCTGGGTTATTCCAAGCTCTGAAAGCTTTTGGAAAGGCAGGAATTCACCAAGGAATCACTCCAGCACACAGATCTATGCCAACATCTTTATTAACATGTACAGGGCCCTGGTTTCATTGAAAAGAACAGTTAGCAGGAGTAGGGTATAGATCCAAGATACCTAAAAGGCATCTACCTCCATAAGTTGCAGTTTCAAGTGTCCTTTCAGCCTTGGCTCCTTAGTCCCAGATTCAGGCGCTTCCTTCCCTTTGGGCGGTGGCTGATTCTTTCATGTGAATGGAATCTCATAAGGACCACGTGTTCAGGTTGCTTCTTGGGCCTGTCCCTGAGCTCAAGCCATTTGGGCTCACTGTGTCTCTACAGCTGCAACACATGCAGTCTCCTGCAGCAGGTGCAATCCTGTCTCAGATGGCATCAACATGCTCCAATCAGAGGAGACCTGGCAGAAGGAAGCAAGGGTGGGAGTTCCTGCCAAATGTCCAGCCAACCAGGCTTCCGAGGAGACAGAATAGCCAGCTTCTCCTTTCTGGCAATCCGGGCTCTGGGGTCAGGGTCAGCCTTCACAGTAGTATTCGTTTGTTGGGTTGGGAGTCCACAGTAGCCAGCTCAATGAGGCAGCCTGGAGAAGAGTGCATCCTGAGGAACTGTGGAGACAAGCTGTTGAAGCTGCCTACAAGCTGGCTACCCCCCTATCAGGGCACACCTGGGGAGAAGGAAGTTATGTCTGTATGTCACCATGGGAGCTGAGGCTCAGGGAGTAGAACCGAAGTGCCTGAAGAACATAACATAAAGCTCATCCTTGAAAATCATCAACAAGTTTTACACCAAGAATATATTCAACTATGAGCCAGAGTTGTATTAGTGTTTTTGCTGGGAATGAAGGATATTGCACGATGAAAAAATTAATGTTGCTGTGGGCTTTGATAGCTGCTCCCACAAAATTTGGTCCCATTGTGTCACAAAGCACACAGAGACCCTAGATATAATCATTAGCTATAATATAGTTCATAAGAAATTATGTTTCATCACAGCATGGGACACAACATCTGTACAGTGAGCAGGTAGTAAATTATCGGTCTTACCTGGAAGTTGGTAGACAGTTCCATATTCAGGTATATAGTGACAGTCATCACACAGTCTTTTTAACATCTGTACTTCTGTATTCCCATAAACAGTTGCATCCATAATACAGTGTGTCACAGCCAGCCAGACAACTCTCAAATATAAGCAATAAGCACAGAATTGTTTGCACAGAATGTAGGTACTACCAGCAGTGAACATCTATCAATGAGGATAAAGTGCAGTTTCTTTCAAACTCTGACAAAATATGCATTGTAATGTATGCAATGTAACCTAGACCTTTCCATACTCGCTTAATTCTCATCTGCTCAGTCAAACACTGCATGTGAAATCCTGCTCCCACTGAAGGCAAAGGAAATTTTGACACTGACTTCAGTGGGTACAGGATTTCACCTTGCATGTTCATTGTAGCAGAAATCCTTTTGAGGAGTGTGGGCAGAAGGTTCATGCTGCCCAATTCCCACATCTGGCTAGGAAGAGCCCATGCTTTGGAAACCCATCTAGACCCCAAAGAACATGTATTCCTGGAGTAAATTCAAAGAGTGGATGAAAGGACAAGCTACTTATCTGTGGTCAGTTATAAAAGGCCTAGAGTGGGGTAGGAGGAGAACTTTGGGATCGGAAAGCTGGTTTAAGGGTCTGCCATTATGATCACAATACGCATTCTCCTCATAGACTGCACTCACTTCTAATGAAATGATGGCCTGAGTTCAATATGTTTCTATTGGTAGATCTAATATACGTCTTTAATGCTATACAGTTTGCCTAGGTTATACAGCAAGAACTATAGAGGAGCCTGTATTGGTAACACTTCTATTAGTAATGATAAGCAAGTAGGAGGAAATATACTGTATCTTATGCTTTTGATCAGTGCATCAGGAGATCTATGAGCAAAGGTAGTGGAGCTGGGAGACTGGCAACTCACACCAAAGAAATCAATAAAAGGAACAGGAAAGGAATAAAGCACAAGGCAACCATGCTGCTGACTTCAGGAGCAGGAAGATTTGTGGACATGACCTAGTGCTCAGCTGCTGTAGTATATGGACCACGTGAATTTGTGCTCAAAGGACCCTTTGTCCATGTCTCTGTTTGTGATGGTATGTCCACTTGTCCCCTCACTGCCATATTCCTGTTCATAAACATGCTACAAAGGTAATATCTGTGGAAAACATAGAAATGCAATGTGTCCAATCCAGGTTCTTCATTTCTTTACCCAGCAGCGGAGAAGATACACAGCATTCCTGCTGCTTTTAACCATAAACTGCCTGCATAAGCCTGTTCAGGTTTTGTGTCCTGTAGTAGAAGCACTGTCCTGGAACAACCCCATGTGGTGTAAGTCAGCATTTCAGTGATTCTGTCTCAACTCTCTTCCTATGGACTTCAGTGGTCTTATATGGTGGTGATTTGGCCCAGTAAAACACTATAGTTCTACAGCTTCTGTGATATCAATGGCCCAGACAAATAATGTCCCACAAAATAGTGGTAATCAACACAACTTCCTCACTTTTTTTCCAGATCAATGGCTCCCAGGGCTTCTCTTTGGAAATCCCTCAGCAAATCCCCCCCTCCCCCCAGAACAACAAAATATAAACTAACTTCCAGACCTCTCAGGCCTGAGCCCTTAGTCCATCTTAAGTTTTCCCCAGTTCTCCACTCTTCTATAGAATACTAATGGTACATCTGCTTTCCCATCTCCTTTTTCAAAGACCACCACAGGAGTTAACTCTACTTCTGTGGACTTCCCATGGGTCTCCATCTGCCAAGTTCCCATTAGGCCAGTCCCACAGAGAGAGAACTACAGACCACCTTTCTCCTGGGTCCCCTTCTTCAAAACTGATCTGAACTTCTTCCTTTTAACACTTCCCTGAGTCAGAAAAACCCTCCAGGTGTAACAAGATGGTGCTAATAGAACTCACAAGTTTCAGTGAACCCCTTCTTGGCCTGTAGAGTTTATATAACCCAGAACATGTCCACATTTTATTTACTGCACAGTACAGATTTTTCAGAACAATTCTATAAAAAAATGTTCATTAATTTTATACACACACATACATAACAATCTATGTGCATAGCACTTTGAGGACAAATAAAAGAGAATGATCTAGATTCGATCATTATGGAACCCAATCTTTCATCTACTGGTGGCCATGAGTCGGGAAACGGCAGTGAAAACTGAATTTTTAGAAGAGACTTGGAGGTTCACATATTTTCCATGGATAATGAGTTTCATATAAGTCTAAAGATCAAGGAATAGAATGCTCACAAAAGTTATTACATGCTCCCATGTATGGAAATTGCTTTCAAAGACTTCAGTAGTTTTTCTATTATATGGCATGGCTGATTTCATACAATGAGATCTATAAAGGCAGTCAAAATACAAAAAACAAACCCACAATGTTCCTGACTATAACAGGGTAGCGGTGGGAATAATATCACCACTCCAAAATGTACCATATTGCTGCTGGCAAGGCATGAGGGTTGGCTGTAGGGAAAATGTGACCAATGTGCCTCCTATAAATGTAAACAAACTGGAGTAATTAGTTGTGTGAAGGTGAAGCCTTGACTCTGCCTTCCCTCAATCCACCAGGCAGTGGAGAAATAAGCTGTACCCTTTCACAACTTATTCCCTGCAAACACAACTCCCTGCAGCAAAGGAACAAGGGTGGAGAAGCAGAGGACAATTGTGACTGCCGCCTCTTGGGGCGGCATAACTACATACCATTCCTTATTCAAAGCAAAGCCTTATGTCTCAGTCTAGCCTTTTAACATTTATCTCTGCCGTTCCTCAGTCATTTTCATCTCCTTTTCTTCTCTTCTTTTTTATGATGTGCCAGAATATTTAATTTCATTTTTGTGCAGCTTTTATCCTCTTGCACTTCATTGTTTTCCTTACTGAACAGCCATTACTATGGAGATTTTCTTTAATCTTTCACTTGCTTTGTATTTATTTCTACTATTGGTTCCCCCCCCCCCCCCTGTTGCACTAGTGGTTTATTTCATTCAGTTTACAAAAGAATTAAGACTTTTTTTAAAAAAAATCAACAATTTATTTTTCTTCATCTTGTTTGCATTTTTATTTTATCATTAAATTATTTTAGTTTGCTCTTTCTCCATTTTCTTTATTTTCAATGGTGTTTCATCATCTTATTCTTTTTCCTTCACTAGATCCACATCCCCTAAATGAATCAGCTAGCTGGCCACGTTTATGGCACATTACTTGGCTATCTAACATAAATGGCCCGTTACATCTGAACCATCAGCATAGCAATACAACAGTAAGGGGTGTATAATTGCTTAGCAACTACTGTTCTTCTCAGATGAAGCTAAATCTGTCGCCTGTAGAATTCACAGAGATTTCAGGCTCTAAAAAACAGAAGAAAAATTCCATGTTCTCTTTCCTATCAGGCCAGATTCTTTTCACTATTTTTCTGTTTATTAGCTGGATTTATGGGCCTGGAAATGATCTAGATAGTTAAGAAAGGCTGCAAAAACTATATCACTTAATGCCATGTTATTTTCACCATCTCCTGTGTGTGCATCAGCAAGAGTGTTTTAATGGCCAAAACTCCGTGTTGACTTCTACATGAGATATTGAAAGTTCCTGGAGAAGATTAATTCAACCATAACATTTTACTTACAGGATTAAAACTAATCCAATCAGCCAGTGGCAGTGGGGAAGTCAATATGAAGGACATGCCAAGTAATAGAAACTATACAGAAGTAGAAAATATTCCATTTAGGAATAATTTCTAACAGCACTAACTGTATAATAGTAAAAAGAACAGGAGTACTTGTGGCACCTTAGAGACTAACAAATTTATTAGAGCATAAGCTTTCGTGGATTACAGCCCACTTCTTCGGATGCATATCATATTGGATGTATAATAGTAAATAATAAACACGAACCACTGAAAGAAAAAAAGTCCCGTGAAAGTAACCTTTGCTTTCTTAATGAAGCTACACAAGCAAGGATAATAGCAGTTAAGATTATTGGCCTGTCGGAGTTTTGTCTGACCAAAAAGTGCTGGATTGATCCAATAGCAATATGAAAATCCAAAAGGATGCTACCTTAAGTAGATACATCAACCAAATGCTTTTCTCAGGGTACAAAATGCATCAGGAAAAAGCTAGCTAAAAGCAAAAAAAGTTTGTTTTTAAAATTTTTCATATGTTAAAATGCTTGGTAAGAAGTAGACTGATCAGGTCTCTTATTTATATAAACTCAATCAATTCCATGTCCATTAAATTCAGTTTGGACTAAAATCACATGGAAAAAGATTGACAGCACAGGAGATGTAATAGAGTTGCAAAAGAATTCACCATGTTGAATATTTAAATGCACTGTTTGCAAAAATTGAATGACATTTTCAAGTACAAAATTAATTAGATTGAACTTCAACAAGAATATTTTCAAAAACTCTTTGAAATGAAAATGGTCACTTCTGCAGCAATAAGGAGATTGTATGAGCAAAACCAAGATAAAAATAAAATAGAAGGCAAAAGCTTTACCTAAGGTCATTGTGCTGAATTCTTATTCTTTACTGTAAAAGCCAAGGGAGATTCATTTCAGAGAAGTTGTGCAGGTCTAAGAGGGGAAAAAAGGACAAGGTGACTAAAGTTTTGGTTCTCCCATTGTTTTTAATGGATTTTTCAAATCAATTATGTATGGGGTGAGTTGAGAAAGGAGGTGATTATTAAACATGGGAAGCTGTATTGATTTAACGCTACTCCACTGCTGCTTTTGAGCTTTCACCAACAGCACAGTGGCTAAAAATTAGTCAGTTGAGGGATGGACAAAAAGGGAAAGCCGCAAACCTAGAAGTCAGTAGGAAAATGTTATGAGTTCACTGCTCCAGCAGAGTGAGCTTTAGAGCCCTACATTGCATAAACCCTATGTTCTTGAGAAAAAAATCTGTCTCCAGACACACCACAGTAGCAACTGAGATTAGTTAAAGTGCTCAAGACAATAGTCTTTAGATTTTAAACATCTGGGACTGGGGACACGGTTCTCAGTAGTGGGGCCCCCTGTGACACTGGAATTTGTTAGCGCTCCCTTACCAGACAAAGGCTGATTCTACTGAACTTCAGGGAAGAGTGCCAGGTTGATCTAATTTCTCAAGCATCTGCTTGAAGGAGTAGTTTGGGTGGAGAGACTTTTTTTTGGTCTATTTGGTTTGGTTTTGCTTCTTGAAAAAAAAAAGGGGGGGAGGAGGGCGAGAATTGTAAATTTTGTACCCAACTCTATACAGATAGCACAGATATTATAAATTGTAACCAAAAAAAAAGCTCTATCACGATGGTATCTGAGTATCAGCTGGCTGGTGATGGGGGCATTTGAATCCACATCTCCAGGGAAAATTGCTTTCTTAACGAAGCTCCTTAGACTGCTCACTCGGTTGCTTTGACTTCTCACACGGTTAGCTCATTTGCTCTAACGGTCTCAGTGGCAGATGCAGGTACTGTTTGGATAGGCTTGGGTAACAACTGTTTTGGGAATGGAACTCCACTTCTGGCTCATTTTTCTCTCTGGTAGCCGCATTCGTAAGGCAGACTGCTGCTTCTTTTCTTTGAGAGGTGGTTGCTGAACAAACGAGAAGAAAAGTGGGGGAACAAAGATCTGAACTAGATTTCGGCTTAAGCCACAAACTTTCCCCAGATCCATAGCCATTCTTGACTGAGCTCTATTTCAGAGCCATCAATGCTCTCTCACAGTCAACCAGGACAGCCTGAGTCAGCAAGATGGATTCCAGCACTCCTTCTGACCCTGGGAAGATGATTTCTCTGCTATCTTTTCCTAATCCTCAATTGCCATATAGGCAGTTGTTTGGGAGAGAGACCTGTAAACCACACCTGGGAAGGGTGAGGATTTGGGAAGCTGTTAAGTATGAATATATTCAATGACCACCTTAAGGTGAGGATATAGGGACAGGAATAGGCAACTGTTAGGCAACGTCAGGCATGTCAAAGAGCTCCTGAGGTCTATGTGCCATTACAGTTTTTGTGCCTAGGATTAGGCTATTATCATAAATATTTGAATGACAATTTGAAATCTCTAAACTAATGTTTTGAAATTACCCATGTTACTATTTTGATATCTGAAATCAAATGTGTTCCTGTCTTGCAGTCTCAGTAATTATGCATAAAGGTTGAAGGAAAAAATAGCTTTTCACGCTTAAAAATCCTCACTTCCTACTATTGCTTTATTGCTTGCTGTTTCAAGATAAAAAGCAGAAACTCTGCAAGCATTTACAACTTGGTAGCTTAAATGAAGTCTTACAATTGCTGGGATGCTCATCAAACCCAATGGTGCTTTTTCATCACTGTTCAGACAACGCTAGTGAACTGTTTTTAGTCTTTCGATTCAAATCGGATACTAAATTGTGATCAAACAGAATTGCTGACTTACTAGGATATAGCTTTGGAATAACTTATTGCTCTAAGTATTGTGCAATACATCCAACAAAAATACCCGTTGCAGCATTATTTACTGTAAAACGAAGCCGCCTTCTGTAATGCACAATCTATGTGTTTTCATTTTTCTTTTACTGCATGCAGTCTGGAACTTTTTGAAGATATTAGTAGTTTTGAATAGTAGATAATGCTGTAGTGGCATATTTCAGCTACTATTTTCTCCAATGTGCTTTCACAAAGTACCATGAAATATTGAGCCAAGTCTGTGAAATACCTGCTATCTCTACACAGCGTGTGTGTCTAGGAAATGCTATTTTATGCCAGACTTTTTTTTTTTTTGAATTGTTGAGGTCTCTTATAGTTCTTCATGAGGTTTTATTGTTTTAAGTGTAGTGGAATACCAGCTGAATATTTCTGTCTGTGTGGAAATACAATTTATCTTGTTGATGGTTGAGAACATTTCAACAACTTGAGTAAATGTATTGTACGCACCAAAGTGTACTGATGAATCCACTATGTCTGGTTGGAAACCAGATTACTCATTGTCATCTTGCCTGATACAATTAAAAATGTTTACAAGTTCACTAACTTAGACCATGTATTCATTCAGCTGTCGGGCAAACAGTAGCCAACAGGGGCACTGGAACAGTTTTTATAGTGGGGGTGCTGAGAGCCATTGAACCAAACTGCAAACTCTGTATATAATGGAAAACACTTCAAGGAAGGGTGTGCGGCAGCACCCCCAGCACCACTAGTTCCAGCACCTATAGTAGCAAACTGAAAATATCCCTGTTACTTCATAAGGGTGCTGTGAATTGTTAATATTTATAAAATGCTTTGAATTTAAAAAGCACTACACTATGTAAATGGAAAGCACAGCATTAGTTTTTCAGCCATCTTTTGGGGGGGAATTGAAAGGATTTTGTTTTTGAACTCAAGCACCTAATTATAGTGTTCTACACTACACTACAGGACAAATGATGATATTGGACCCTTTCAGATCTCTTCCAGAACCACGAATAGATCTCTTGGACCTGTGCAGAGAATCAGCTACCTCTTCAACAGTATCCCAACCAACCCACAGGTTTGATGGATGGCTCTCTTCAGGTGTGTGAAAAAATTGAGATTTATAGTGCTGGATGTTGTCAGATGCTACCAGTGTGGTGCTCTGCTCTGTTCAATGTTGATATCAATCGGCTGCGTGCGTGTGTTCCCCCTGTGTGCTGCCCCAGCTCTGCGCAGATAGCTGACACAGCAGACCCAGAGAGAACCCCCAATGACCACAGACTCTAGTAAGGTACGAAGGCATGTCAGCCAGGTTTATTGTCGAAGAGAAACACAGTTTCCAGCTTTCCTTGGCAAACAAAGTCCAAGGTGCTGCTAGCCAGTACTTACGTGCTCTCTGACAATGGACTCAGCTCAGTCATTGGCGGGATTTTCCACTGCCCCCTAGGCTGGACCAAGACACTGCCCTAGGGATGCATTCTTATACGCAGGTACAAACAAGTTACACATCACTCCTGACGTATTGAGGTGCAACCCCTCTACGCAGCAAGGTACAGCCCCTCTGCGTAGCAAGGTGCCGCCTCTCACCTTGTACATGTTAGTTTGAACAAAACAACTCTATTCATCATATTATTCTTTTGGCCCTGTCATTGGGATAGGTCAGCTTGTTCCTTGTTATCTGTGTGGAATGTGTAAGTATTGGAGTTTTCTGATATCTAGTGTTCAGTACCTTTTAGGTATGTATCTTCTTGCAGCATCAGCCCTTTCCTTGCCAGCTTCTGTGAGCAGGGCCTGCCTCTGGCTCACAGCTTAACTTTGCTTTATGTTAGCAAAGTCTTGACCATTATTTTAGTTCAGGCCTCAGGCCTCATACTGGGCCTCTGATAAGGGTTTATGTTTCAGGGCATCATCTTACTACACTGGATAATTAAATTCCCTATTTAGGCACAGAACAGATACAAGAATACAAAATCCCCTAACTATCCCAGTAGAATATCTCAACTGTGTTCTGGAGAGGGATTCACTCTTCATGCTTCTCAAATCCTTGAATACTGCCAGCAAAAGGGGGACAGAATAAAATTGGGCCCAACCGGGAACACACCTCCCACTACCACCCTTGATCACAGAACTAAGATGGGGAGAACCCTCCACTTTGGGGGACTAGGACCCAGGAGATGCCTTCCCTTCCCCTCCCCCAAGACATGTTGCCTGGGAAAAACTGGACCTGCAGGTCTAGGATACATATAAGGGAGATGCAGATGGAGCAATGGATGGCAGGATTATAAACAGAAACTATCACTTTTCTGTAGCTTTCCCTCTGGGGATTGTGTGGGACATCACTAACTAGTGATGTTTAGGTAACCTAACTTCTTTTTCAGTCATGTTGCTGTGGGGGGTGCCCAAGGGCTAGAGCTGGCAAGCAGTCTCCATATGGATGTACATAATCTCCTGCAGATCCTAGGATTATATAATCCAAATCAGCAGCCTGCTCTGCAGGGTGGACGAGGGGAGGTAAGGTAAGGGAAGAAACCCATCCTAATGGAAGAATCTGGAAAATCGGTGTGGGGAATTTCACCAAGATTTCTTCCCACTTAGCCTCAGGCAAGAGATATTTCCTTTGAAAGGGAATGATTAGGCCTACTGTTATTAGCTTTTTAGATATGGAAAGATTTCCAAAATTTTTCAGAGGGAAACTACTTGTATTGATGTGTGTATAAACAACAGTTTCTATTAACTGCATTGATTTATGCATTATCCCCAAGAAGACAAGACATCCACACACTGTGGGTGGCAAATGGCACCTTATCTAAACTTTTGCATGCAAAGATGGGACTGTGACAGCCTTAAGAGGATGTTGAGAAGTTTATTTGAAGGTTAGGATATTAAACAAATATAGACGGTTATTTTTAATTAGTGAATTTGTGAGTTGCTAACATGGGAGGCAGATTTAAGTGATCTGTCACCACATGGCAAGAGCGATTTTGAACAGCAGGACAAGCCCAGAAGTAGAGGTAATCAGTTAGAGTCAGCCTTTTTTTTTTTCTGCAGAATGGTAATATGGGGATAATTAAAACAAATATCTAGCTCCAAACCATTTTAATATTACTGATGAGCATTTGCCTGAGAAGAAAATATTGACAGGTACCATTGAGACAAACTGTTCCTATGCAGCAGCTGATATAATAGCTCAGGTCACTTACAAAAATAGAAAAATTATAACTGTTGCCTACATTTATTTTAAATGTTATATTTTTATTACACTCTGACAATTTTGAAAAGGATGAACAGTTAATTATTATAAGAATGGGTTTTATGGCACTTTTCTCCAGCTTTGAGAAATTGAACATTCAGATTTGCTATAGCTAAATATATAAAACTATGACCTGAATGCCATTTCTGAACTTGATATATACATAGCTGCATCACTGTGTTTTATTCACAGTGTTGTCCAGAATATTCTTTAACATTTTTAAAGTAAGTGTGTGTGTGTGTGTGTGTGTGTGTGTGTGTGTGTGTGTGTGTGAGTGAGTGAGAGAGAGATGGGATTTACAGCACTGGAGAATTAAATTCCTTATTTATTCACATAACAGACACAGCAAGAGAACAATATTCCCCAACTGTCCTGCCAAAGTGTCTCAACTGTGTGCTGGAGTAGAGACCTCTTCATTCACGCTCCATGATTATCAAATCCTTGAAGACTGCCAACAAAGAGGAGAGGGGATAAAATGGGGCTCAACCGGGACCACACATCCGCCACCAGTCACCACCCAAACCTGTGCTGCAGAGACCGTCCCCACACATTCCAGGTGGTGCCTCCTGTCCCTGTGACATGGTAGTGGAGGAAAACTGCAGGGAAGAACCAGCCAGAGACTCCAGCCAAAGGAACAGCTGAAGATGCAGGCAAATCAAGGATCTCCAGACATCCAGGGAACTTTCTACAATTTTTCCTGCACTGTGTCTGCCCTTAACTGATTGGCTCTTTCCTCCAGTCCTGCCCCTCCCACAGTCTCTTCATCTCAGTTTTACTGCACACCTGACCCTCTTACCCTCTTCTCCTATGCCCTGTCCTCTTCCCGCTCCCCCTTGCATTCCACATTCCCTCTCCATTCAGTTTTCTTTCCGTTTAGCTTATCCCCTCCTAACTAAATCCCACCCACCCCCAAAAACTCATGGAACTAACATGATGTTTGCTACCATCACATTGTTCGCTCTGCTTGTGTGTTCTATTACTTCTCCTACTCTGTGTCTGTCTTCTCTATAAGATTAAATTTTAGATTGTAAGCTTTCTGGGGTGGGAACCATTTACTCTGTGTTTGTACAGAGCTTAGTACAATGAAGCACCATTCTTGGCTGGTTCTTAGGAACTGCTGTAATGAACATGATTAATAATAAAACATGATTAATAATAAAACATGTTTTTACCTGATCACTGTGTGCTGTCTCCATTCTCCAGTGGGGGCAAATGGGGATGGGGTGTTAAATTGAAGCAGGAACCTACAGGTACTAGTAAAGATGGATACAAACCTGAAGAAAAGAAAAAAATAAGTACATTTTTAGATGAAACTGTGCTGGATACCCCTCTCAGCCTGCTTACTGGGGATATTTACAAATTAGGAGAGTTAGTGGAATTTGCTCACTTTTTTCAGGTAATCTTAATATGTGTTGCATAGGTGACTCAAAGAAACTGAAATTCTGCCACACCTGCTTGAAGCCCAAATCTTAGATTCACTCCTACTGAGGAGAAGTTGCCTGTGGCTGCTTGATAAACATTTAAATCAGTGTTTTCTGACATAAAAAAAACATATTTGAACACTGTCAATGGTAAGCACTGATTAGATTCAAAATAGGGGTTTTAAAAAACAAGCAAACAGAAAATGAAGTTTTAAAGGGGACTTTATTGAGCAAGGCTACAATTAAACTGTTCTGTAAACTAACAAGATAAATAGTATTAAAGAGCTTTGGGCTGAGGAGCTAGATAATCAAATAACCAACATATTATCAAAGAAAACATGCTTCCTTCATTAGAGGTTTTGGCTCCAGTTCATTCCACTGCAGAATACAAGTTGTGGCTGCAAGCAATGGAAAGTGCATTGGAAACAAAGGAACAGTTCTGTTGGGGGTCCAGTTCAGCCCACAAAATGAAAGGGCTGGAATTTGAGGAGCAAAGCTAAAGTATCTGGGACACGTACTGTTTCAGTACATCTCCTGTAGAGCATCCACCAGCAGAACTCCTAGAGGCCCACATCAGGAGTTGAAAGTCGCAATCCCTTTAGAAAGGCAGTGGCACCAGAACAAGATCCAGATTTATCGGTGTGCCTTCTGGAGCAGAATCAATGCTACATCACTTCAAGGCGGGCTCTTTTTACAATATTTCTAAGCAGGATGACAAATGTCTGAAATTTTGCAAGAAAGCCTTTTGGAAAATATCCAACCCATGTAGTAGGATTTCCAGCATTTCATAGACTCTAGAGCCTTCAATATTATCCAATATACTGATGATTATCTGAACTAAACTAAACCAAACTTTTTGAAGGTTTTGACTAGATGAGTTCTCTGATCTTGATTTATGCAGAGAAAAGTACAAGATTTTCCAGTTGTTTCTCTCCCCAAAGATCTCTCCCAAAATTATATCATGCATGTTAAGTCTGTAGCTAATTAATGGTCTTTCTATTTCTGGTAAACAGTTTTATGCACACAACACATGAGCTGAAATCATTTTAATCAATTCCAGGCATTCTTAACACTTAAGCTGTGCTTTGGGTTCTGCAAGAACCCATTTAAACCCAAATATTTTGGGATGTCTGTTTATTGATAATTTCTCTCTTAGAAAGCCTTTTATAAAGTCATAACATTGTGCAGTCTGGTTTTCTCGTGGCATTTTTCTATCATTTAGACAGTGGAATACTATAAGACCACCACATCATGATTTTTGCCAGACCCATAAATGATTCCTAGAAACATTTTAAAAAGCCAGTGAAAACCAAACACCAATAACTAAAACAAATTTCCACTTAGATACTACAGGGCAATACAGTATGCCATGCTGCATCCTAAGATAGATGTATAGAACCCGCAGATATCACTACCTGCTACAGTAAATCAAAAGTAATCAAACCTGCATTTTCATTTGGTTTAAGATTCAATTTGGCCTCTAAACTTTCAAACATCTATTCAATGTTCCCCCAGCCCTAGAAAAAAAACCCCACTCAAATATGGGAGGATTAATATTTTATTTGTAAATGCATAGTAATATAATTCATTTTGCAGAACCATAAGGTTCTCCTCAACATTCTGCCAAGGGAGATTAAAAACCGTAGCAGAGGTATGACATTCAAGGCAATTAACTCTCATGAGAATAAAGGAAAAGCTGATTTGCCTCCTTTTACATACAGGCATATCATATTGCCATCTTCGTACCAAACACAGCTAAGCCTTATTCACACACATTGTAGTAAAAATAGGAGGTCTAGCAGTTTCTGAATCACAGTCCTTCTAGTTTTTGAATCACTACAAAAGTCCCAAAGCAGTTGTGTGGTTTATCTCAAAGGACAGCTTTCTGGCACACACTGCAAACAGTAAAATGAGGGGTCTCTCCGGTCATTGTGCAAAATTGGATTAGCAAACGAAGAACTACTGTTATAATGTTCATAAACAAATGTTAAGTTGAGAAGAGAATAAGCTAGGTGCAAGGATTTGGTATGATGCATTATTAAAGAAGAGCACACAAAGGCAAAATTTGCAAATATACAGTAAGATTGTTTCTGCTTTTATGGCTGAAGCTTACTTGCATGAAAGAATATTTCTGGAACTGTCAGTATTTGTGATTATCCTAGAAAGGTGAGTAACAGAACAGGCACATGAATGGCTAAAATAGAACATGTACTTAATCCCTTTTGATTATAAGGGAAAGTATGAAATCAACCCCCTTTCTTGCCAAAGTCACTAAAAGCACATGTTGTACAGCATGCCGAAGAGATTACAATATGTTATTATGTGGGACATGTAGACCCATCAGAGCTTGCACTGTATGGAGTGTTATGATGCAAACAAATACTAGCAGACAGTACATTTTATAGATAATTCCAAGGATCCAAATAATCTACCTAGAGATTTCCTGTAGCACATATAATCATTTTATTTAAGAGCTGACAATAATCACAGGGCACACCACCTGCTGTGTGCAAAGGAGAGACTTAAAATGGATTCAGCATTTTTCTTGACTGTTCAGCTAACTCTTATGGTAATTAATGTGTTGCATTTATGGATAACATGCTGAAGTGTCTGATCAATAATTAAAGCCATAATTTCAAAAGCCATAAAAAGCGCTTTTCTTATGCAGTTTTACTAAATGAAGGAATTTTCAAGCTACTGAGTGATGGTGGAATATGGCAAATGATTCACTTATGATAGCCACTGCTGTGACTTCTTGCTTTTGTAATTTTGTAGATGAAGAAAGGATGTTGAGTTTGTTTACTCACTCCATTAGTTTCAGATTTGCAAATAGTTTTTTTTCCCTCTGGACTTCTGATACTCCATTTTAAACCTAAAGGAACATTTCCTTATTTTAATGTTTTATCACTTAAAGGAACTGTGTTATGAAATCTTTTGGTTCTAGCTTCTAAATTACCTAGCACACGTGCAAAGAACCTTTCATACCACTTGTTCGTGCTGCACAAGAGCCAGATATGATTGCAGTTAGAGCAGTTCAGGGAGTTCTCCAAGGACCCTGACAGCATAAGTCACTCTGAAGGGAGCAGGTGAAGGAAAGGTCATGATTACCCAGGCTACCTCCTTCCACTCCATCCCATGGATCTAGCTCGGTGAGTCAGGCTAAGCAGTCTGCAACATCCAAAAGGAGTATTCACAGTGTGCATACTTTCCCTGAACGTGAAAGACCAAAAGAAGTGGGGTCACAGCATCGGTGGATGGGGGTGTAATCCCGATTATCAAATCTAGCCCACGAGTCACAAGATGATTCTGTCCAGCCCAAAATATGTCTGGACCTGCTCTACAAAATGGTGTCCTCCACACAGCATGATCTTGCATATATAATGCATGCAAGATTATGCTGCATGGAGGACACCATTTTGTAGAGCATATATTTCTGTTGGAGCCTGTGGAGGCACTGCAGAGGGTTGCGGGACTCAATGAGTCTCAAAATGGAGTCATGCATGCAAAAAGTTTGGGAGTTGCTGTTGTGACGCCCCCCCCACCACCACCACACCCGGGTGCAACCTGGACCTGGGGTACCACTGAGCCCTCTGACTCACCAGCCTGGGATCCCTTTCACACTGTGGTGCTGTGACAAGCTACAATCCTCTCCAGAACTTGCACTTACACAGAGACACAGGCAGGGACACACTCAGCTGCAGTTACATGTGTTTCTCTTCAGCCACTCATACACTAACAGTAGAGAAGCTACACCCAACACCCCCCGCCTCAGCTCCACAGCCTAGGACCCCAGAGCTGTACTGTCTTGTACCGGTCAAAAGCCTGACCAGTAAATATTATTACCCGGTCTGCCCTTTGCTCAATGTGTAGAGGACAATTCACCAACCCCTGTTCCTGATCAGATTTCCCTTTACACTTTAAACAAACTGTTTTAGGTAAAAAATACTAAATTTGCTTTATAACTAGAGAAAGGTAGATTTTAAGTGATTATAAGTAGTGAGTGTACAGATCAAAGCATATTACCTAAGAAAAGCACAATCTAAGTTCTCTAAACTGGATAGGATTTGAATCAAGCAGTGTCTCACCTTTAGAAAGTACAAACAATCCACCAAGCTTCCATACACAGGCAGGTTTCCTTCTTTCCCACCTGGAACCCTCCTTTCCCAGTTCAGTCTTTTTTCCTCAGGTGTCATCTTGTAGGGGCAATGAGGCCCAGAGGAGATCTCACTTCCCCCTTTTATAGCTTCTTCCATGTGGAGGGAATGTCTTTGTTTCAAGATATGCCCCCCAACCAGGGCCGGATTATGACATTCTGAGGCCTTAAGCTATATCAAGTGTATGAGGCCCCATACCATAAAAAAAATGAATGTATTATTTTCACAGAAAGGACATTGAATATGTAAATCTGAAAGCTTTATATCTACATATATACAAAGGCAAAGTTGTAAAAATAGAATAATAATCTTCATTTTCACCAGCCCTCTCTGTAACGATGATATCATGACAGAAATAAATTTTAGACAAATTCTTTGAACTAAATGCATATATAAGTAAAGTACAAGTAAACAATACAATATAAAAAATACAAAATAAAAAATACAGTTAATAATTCAATTTACTAGAAGAGTTCTCAGGAAATTTTCTTCTCTGTTGGGGCATCTAAATTGTAGAATTCCTTGTTTGAATACACAAGGAGACTCTTGGAGGATATAAGATGGCAATAGAGGATTCAAGAGGCATTAGAGGATATAGGATGTGGATAACCCACAAGCTAAAAGCTCAACTATTAGTTATATCGATATGACTTACACAGGTAATAAGCAAACCATCCGAAAATTGTATGTGGGTTGTAT